TACCTTGCCCTGTACGACTATCTCGAAGGAAGAACGGACTCCCGCCAAGTACAACATCATGAACCGGTTCATGATTCATTGCGGTCTCAAATGGAAGAAGCTTTCGTCGGGTCCAATTGGTGGTCAAATTGGAGACGAAATGCAACCTTCGTCGCTCTTGAAGACGCTTCGAATCTACTCGTCAAACTCCGTGAGCGCAACATCTTCTTTGAGATCAAGGAGTTCAAGGGCGTTGGGGAGTTTGGTGGTATCATCACGGACAAGATGCAGGAGGAGCAAAAGAAGGATTCCTCGTACGGTGCCGCACCCAACAAGAAGCGTGCTCCTGAAGAATATCTTCCTCTCTTGATGAAGGCGATTCAGTCTGGTTTGCTTGATCCGCTCAACAACATTGATGACTTGCTCATGGTGGTTGCTTTCTGCAATGGGTATTACGCTGCCTTTCGAGGTGGAGAAGATCACGTATTGCTGAATCATAGCGACATCAGCTTTCACTTCTTCGACAATACTTTCGGACCTGAGCTTGAAGGAACCGAATATGTCAAGATTGCCATTTTTGGTAAGAAGGCAAAGCGCTTGAGCATCAATAATCCAACCATCAAACCAAACCAGCAGACCGAGCTGTACATCCCCGCGGAATCAGAGATCAAAGGTTGGAATTCAGTCGAGTTTTACAAACTCATAGTCAAACACTCTCACCCTGAAGCAAAAGCATTCTATTCGCGGTACATCCTTAGCCAGGACAAACGCCAGAAAATCAGTGATGCCGTGACCCGGAAGCATGGTCTCTTGGATGGTGAACGACGTGAGGTCTGGTTCCAGCCCGGTGGTTTCAAGGAAGGAAATCACAATGTTGGTCCACGCAGTATCACCAAGTGGTTGAAGAATCTTGCCGAAAAGATTGGAGTTGACGACTTTGATGCCTGTACTGGCCATGCGTTGCGGGCTATGAACATCTCGTCAGGAATCTCTGGTGGTCTCAACGCAACTGAAGTGGCCAACATGGCTCGTCAGTCCAGCAAGACGGTCCAGGAACATTATGTCAATGAACTGACCAATGAGCGCGTCGGCAATCAGCTCAATGCAATCAAACTTGGAAAAGTCATGCAGCGACAAAATGTGAAGGATGTCCAAATGGAGGATTCCAAACCTGCTGCTCGATCCACTGCTGTCAACTCGAATGATGAAATCGAAAGTCTCCGTGCGCTACTGGCAGAGAAGGAGTGCCAATTGCAACAACAGAAGCCACCTCCCGTTGCCGGGCCACCACTGAATGATGCTCCTCCAAATGTTGCTGCCGTGCCGCATGGCCATCAGTATCCCGCACCTCAACCGGCTTCAGCGTACCCAGCTCCTCCGCCTGTGTCCTCCTACTCGCAACAGCGATATGAATATCAGCCTCAACCATATCCGTCCCGATACCCTGATCAGGATTCATACTATGCGTGTGGATATTCTTCATACGGTCAGCTACCAGCTTCGTCGGATCCTGGGTGGTCGTACCGCGCGCCTCCCCCTGGTCCTCCGCCGGATCAAGGTTGGTATGGGGGATCCCAAACGAATCTTGTTGAATACCGTGGACCACACATGAATGCTCGCTATGGTGGACCTCTACTTGATCAAGGTTGGTCGTACCAACGTGGGCCGCCAATAGGACCTCCACCCAATCATGGTTGGTCGTACCGTGGACCTCCAGCAGGTCCTCCGTCGGATCAAGGGTGGTCGTACCGTGGGCCTCAAACAGGACCTCCGCCGGATCAAGGTTGGTATGGGGGACCCCCCACAAATAATGGTAGCTACCGAGGACCTTCACTGGATCATCGTGGTCGTTCTCCCGTGCCCCCTGGCAATAACAATTTGCCGCCACCGGATCATCTTGGTCATGGTCATGAGTACGGAGGACGCGGCAACGGTTGGTAATGGCTCATTGTCGGACATTTGAAGGTCGATGTTGCTAACAAAAAGGCATATCTTTGCTGTTTCGAAGTTTCTTCGCCCAATTTTATGAAGAGTTCTCTACTCGAAATGAAAATCGGAGTGCTTTGTACGATTGCTTTTCATGGGTCCATTTCTTTCGTGCGTCAGTTCCAATCATCAGTTTCCTCTCTCTTTACTTCCGTTGGCTAACAACCCTGATAGCCAGCAGAAAAGGTTGTTGTTCAAACTTTCTTACAACCATATACCATAGTAATTGTTTCAAGATTTGAACAACCTTTGTTTTAGCTGAAAGATACGGTTTAGTCAATTTCAATCTTGCGAGTGAACAACATGGTCGCTGAAAGAAGCACACAAAATGAAATTTCTTAATACTGAAAAATGTGACGCGAAAATTTCCAGATCTCAAAATGTGAGCGTTGACTAGTCATGCCCGTCGCGATTTTGTTCCGGATTGGTTCCGGATTGCCTCTAAATTTTTCGAGGAAGCATGATTCAAGTAGAAACTATACTAAGGCTACATAATCTGCACCAATTCAGCGGAGTAGGGTTCCATACCTACGGTACCGGTACAAGAAGCTCCAGATACAGTTGTCATGAATCCTCGGTCTGAACTGTTTTGCACGAGAACTGGTACCAGTAGCCAGTTAATGCTAGCGAGACCACATAACCAGGTTTAGCAACAAAACAACGTACACGCGGAAGATCAGAGAGAGGGGTTTGAAATCGGGTTCTAAAGTCTACCGTAGAAAGCGAATAACTGGCTATTCTGCATCCGCAGTGTCATCATCGCCTTCTTCTTCAGTGCCTCCTTCAGCCTCTTCGGCGGGGATTTCAACAGCTCCTGCCTCACTTTCACCTCCTGCATCTGTCACCCCGTCCTCATCGCCATCCTCTCCTTCCTTGCCGCCTGTCTCCTCCACGGCAGTTTCTCCAGTTTCATCGCCTCCTTCCTCTTCCGCGGGCTCACCTTCATCGCCTCCTTCCTCTTCCGCGGGCTCTTCACCTTCGTCGCCTTCTTCCTCCATTCAACAACACTTGCCGAACGCCATTCATGACGTTGGAAATACTACACCTCATGCCGCTCAGCGAACAAATTATGCCGTTGGATCATCCCACTGAAGTTGCTATGCCAAGGGGAGATGCCATGTCAAAAAAATCAGATTGATCTTCTGGATATATGAGAGAGAAAGGAAGCCCAGAGCGTTTCATGGAGCTCCCAAGCCACCAGCTGGAACAACCGGAGGCGGAGGTGGAGGTGTTCTCGTACAGCAAAGGGAGAACGGCTGAAAAAGAAGCGATGTGGAAACGAAACCGTGAAACGAATGGCCAGCGCAGCGCTAGGGACCCGAAAATTGAAATGGCGCTGCTGTACGGAGGAGACGAAAACTGATGTAAGCACTACACAGTTCCAAGAGGGGGCTGGCATGCAGCAACAAAGTATGACTGTTGAAAGGATGCAACAACGACCTAAAACGCGACCGTCTGGTGGGTCTCCAATGCTGGATGGCCAAAGCTATGAAACCGGTAGCGCTGGTACCGGCGGCACTGGTCAAGCCAGTGGGGTGCCATCGTCACTCAAAAAGAAGAAAAAGAAAGAAACTAGGCTCCCGGCACAGCACTCAAATGGGCGGATTGCCAAGTGATTCTCGAATGAGCGGCGGCCCCATGCAGCCCGGCTTCGGGACGCAACCAGGAAGTTCTCAAATGAGCGGCGGCCCCATGCAGCCCGGCTTCGGGACGCAACCAGGAAGTTCTCGAACGAGTGGCGGCCCCATGCAACCTGGCTACGGTACTCAACCAGGCAGCTCTCGAACGAGTGGCGGCCCCATGCAACCTGGCTACGGTACTCAACCAGGCAGCTCTCGAACGAGTGGCGGCCCCATGCGCCCAGGCAGTGCTCAATTTGGTGGCAGCCCGATGAGTGGCGGCCAGATGCAACCTGACAGTTCTCAAATGATGGTTTCCCAACGAAGGAACACGATGGCTCTCAAGATGAAAAGAAGAAAAAGAAATTTGGCACCGGTACCTCCTCGCTGAGTGGGAAGCCGATGCAGGCGGGCAACCCTAATGACGAAACAACAATGCAAGGAAACTCCTATGGAACTGCCTCACGGCCTCAGCAACCTTTCGCACAAGGAGCCGGCAACACGCAGCTCGGAGTGGGTGCTGCGGATGAAGATGCAGCAGATGAAGAGACCGTTGGAGGTGACGCCGAAGCCGGACAGGTACCGGATGCAGAAGATGACGGTGACGATGACGGAACGGCTGCTGAGGAACGAACCGGTGGAAACACCGAAGAGGGAGTCGCCGGAGAGACTGCTGA